ACACACACACACACACACACACGAAGAGAGAGAGGGGGAAGGGAGGGAGGGAGGGAGGGAGGGAGAGAGAGAGAGAGAGAGAGAGAGAGAGAGAGAGGTGTGTCAATGATGAGTTAGATTTCTCAAGTGCCAAGGATCTAACTCCTCTGGATTAGGTCCCATTTGCTAAATTTCCGTCATCTTCCCAGATCCTACAACTAAGACACATCCATCAATGAGGTGAGAGCTATTAGGAACCCGATCAGTTCCCTAAAGTGCCACCTTTGAAGCCTGTTGCTCTGGGGACTAAACAATTTACACCTATACCAAGATTTTAAGGAAGTCAATATCCAGCAACCATCTTCTGGCTCCTTTATCCCGTGCAGAAAGCCCATGGCCTTTGTTTCTTCCCGGACACTGATCGCCACAGCCAACCCTCCCCCTTGTTAGATGCTAGGTGACATTTCTCTAAACTCTTCTCAAGGTCATCTTTGCAACAGACAACGTATGTTCCTGGAGTGCCCTGTGCGTGCTGTACATGGAATTGTGGGCCAAGCATATGAAAATTTAATGAAATTGAATGTTTTAATTTAACATTTTGTTTGTAATTTGAATTCTAGTCACATTTCTGGTTGACTTATTATAAAACCTTTGCTCTTCTCCAACTTCTAAGAATTATTGAGGCTCTGGGATTTGCTTGTGTATCTGAGAAACCTGGAACTCCTGATCCTGGATGGACAAAGAGGGGAGGTTACTTTAGCCTAATGGAGTGCTCCTCCTCTGAGGGCAAAGACCAGAGCTAAACAGAAACTGACAATTTGTTGGCTCATGGATTCTAATTCCACTGGCTCCTTACAGCACGTCACATACAGCCACAGAAAATTGGAGTGTGAAGAGAGACCCATGCCTAAGCCCCTCCCCCTGCCAGGCCTAGCCCTCTCTGGTAGGTTTTTAGGGTATGTTTCTTAATATCAAACATCAAATTCAGCTTTGGGAACTCATTTCCCATCTCCAAATGCTGTTTTCTCTATTGTTGTTCCTTCATGACCTCAG